CCAGACGGTTCCGTTCCGACTCCTCGGCGTTCTCTAGGTGGTCGATGTCGATGCGTTTCGAAGCTGGCCCCTTGGGGGGATCCACATCGGGCAAGAGGCCGTGCACTTCCTCGGCCCCGCGCGCTGCGAGGGGCGTCCGCATTGGTCCGGGGGCGATCGGGCCAGGGCCACCTCCGCCCTGGCTGAACGGGACGGGCTTGGAAGCGGAGGCGCGACGGGGCGCGAGCTCTCTGGATGGCGACGGCTCGTCGCGGACTGGCGGGGCTGAATTCGGTTTGGAGGTAGGGGGGCGAAGGTGGACCATGCGGGTGCCCCGGTCGAGCATCCCGTTGGCTGCGCCGGGATTGGCGCCCCATGCTTGAGCGAGGCATTGGCGGCGCGTCCATGTGGCGTTCCAGCTGCGGTTGGCCCAGGCGACGGCGCGGCCCCCCCGCGCCGGGAGGCCCCCCGCGCTTGCTTGCCGCGACTCTGCGTCTGCCTTCATAACAGCCGAGCGCAGGCGCGCCTGCCTGCCAGGAGAGCAGAGGGGGCACCAAGTGGGCACCCGTCGCGCGTGGCCGTGTAACGCTTGGATTCTGCTGCCGCATGGCCAAACCTGTCGTTCTCTAGCCGCGTGGGCGGTAAGGTGGCGTTGGCATTCTCTGGGACATGGAGGCCTAGGGGCTCCAGGAGAAAATCGCCAAGGCCGCCCGGGGTCGCTGCGGGGGGAAGCGCCGAGAGCGCGTGATAGGAAGCGGCGGGGGATAGTGTGTCCACGGGAGGGGGCCTGGGTGGGGTTCCTGGCGAGTGCAACGGCCTGTGCCCTCTCGGTGAAAGAGCGGTCTGGGGACAACTGGTGACCTTCCGTCTCGACCACGCGTGTCCAGCACTGAACGCGCAGCCATGTGCAGTTCAGCCCGTTGGCGTTCGCCTGCAGGCGGTTCAGTGCAAGACGCGAGCGGATATTGTCGTCTAGCCAAATGCCTTCGTTGTGCTAGAGGCCGCTTTTGTAGCAGTAGTCACACTTGTACCTGGCCGACTTCTGGTCTGCGCTGAAGCGAGTGTCGCCGGGGGCCAGGTAGCATGGGGGTCTTGGTCACGTTGGGGAGTGGGGCAAGCGGTAGCGCTCTGTCCAGGGGGGTAAACCCGTGCGAGAATCCCCCGCTGAGGAAGGACGTCTCTGAGGGGCTGGCATCGGGCCCCAGGCCGTTGTCGTTGCCTGTGGGGCCGCGGTGAAAAAACAAGTGCTGCATCCCGACTGTGAGAGGATACCGATGTTGGCCGGCTTCGCAATCTCGTCCAGGACCAGCATTGGGGGCTTTTAGCTTAAAGGGGAAGCTATCCATCTCAGCGTAGGTGGTGGGGCAATGGGCGGCCTCAGCGGTGGGGAGATGACGGGCAGTAGTCACCAGCTTGCCCGCCACGGCGATCAGCCTCTCCAGCCTCCCGTGGAGTTGACGGAGGTCAGAGAGCTTGAGCCCCCGGGAAGCCGCGAACTGAGACCGGAAGTGGTGGTGGTCGTTCTGCCAAGGACAGCATGCACCCAAAATGGCTTCAAGCGTGCCCCCGGACCCGGAAGGGTCAGGGAAAGGCCAGGGGTGGGCCAGGGGTTCGCGCTTCATGAGCAGCATGATGATGAAGACACACCGGGCCCTTTCGGTGGACATGGTGCGGTCGCTGGGGTCAAGCAACTCGAGACGGTGTTGCGTGGTTCCGTCGTGGCCCTCCAGGAGGCTGACGACGTTTCGAAGTCAGGGTAAACAAGGTGGAGCGGGCAGGTCCTTGTCTCTTGGGACCATGCACAGTGGACATGGTGCTGGAGGTCGGGGGGGGGTGCTGCGGTTCTTGTTCTGGGGTCGCCGAGCAGCACGACCTTGGACCTGCGGTGCCGGGGGCAGCTCTTTGTTCGAAATCCGGCACACTGGGTTGTCCCAGGAAGTGCCTAGGCCGACGGACCAGACCAAAGTGGCCCAGGTCATGTTGTAAACCAGGCTGCCTGCGTCCAGCCCTAGCTCCACGTCGAACAAGTAGCCCAGAAGGCTCCAGGCTTTCCTGTCGAACTGCGCAGCGTTGGAGGGGACGCCCTCGATGTTGTACTTGTGGGGGGGGCAGCCCTGCCACCAGGAAGAGGACGACGGAGAAGGCAGGGTCGGTGAGGAGATCCTCGCGTGCTGCTTTCATCTGAAGTCCGAGGCCCCGTCCGTCCCTTCTCCTGGCCACCTCCTGGCTGGCCCTAATTCTGTCGTCGTGTGCCTCACTCGCGGCGAGGGAGTCAGGACCCACGGGCACTCAGGAGGCAAGGTCGCGGATGGGGTCGAAGTCGGTGTCGGCAAGCAGTTCGTTGCGTTTGCAGGGGCTGTGGCCCGGGAGGTTGCGAAAACGTGCCCAAAGGCCTGCGAGACGACCGTAATTGGACAGTAATCGTAGCTTGGAGTCGGCCATAGAGGGCATCATGCGGCCGTCCGCGATGACCACAATACCTCGCCTGGCGCGCGTAAGCCCGACGTTGACTCTGTTGGGATTGTCCACGAAGCCCCACGTGTGGTTGGAGTTGGACCGCGTAGTGGGGAAGATGACCAGGTCAGCTTCGCCACCCTGGCTGGTGGGGATACATTTTTTGGTCAGCGGCTCCGAGGCAACGGACAGGGAGCGGAAACGGCGTCTGGGTCACGGTACGGGGCTAATTTGCAAGCTGGTGGGGATACGCGAAGCGTGAAGAATTCAGAACTGTCGGGTTTGAAAAAGTTTTAAAAACCATGGCCACCAATTACACAAGGATTTCCCGCGATGTATGATTTCCGTTGATTTTTGGGGATTCCCCGGGATTCCCTGGACATGTGGCGGGCGTCCTCTGGTAGCACAACCGGCCAAATTCGGCCCAAAAAGCGCCACAGTGGACCGAAGATGCCTCCCAAAAGGCCCAAGAGTCTCCCAATGCGCCATAGATGGCCTCAGCACGGCCCAGGAGGCCTCGAGGACGTCCCAAGAGCCCCAAGAGGCAAAAACCATGGTGTTCCTAAGGATTTTGGCTGTTTGTGGCCTTCTCGCCTTTCTGCATTCCAACGTTCCGCGGGGCCCCTTAGATCGGCCTCAGAGGCTCCCAAGAAGGGGCGGCCCAAGAGGGCTCCGAGACGGCATTCCCAGAGGGTGAAAACTTAGACAAAGCCACCGGCGTGCTATTCCAAGACCTTACAAGTTCTTCGACAAGGAAAAAGCGAGACTGCCGCGACGGGGCGAGTTCTCAGCATCGTCAGAGACACAACCTGGCGTGCTGTTATCAGAGTGATGGGACCGAACGGTCATTCATTGTCCCTGGATGCGTGGCTGAAGTGGGGACCCGTGGTGAGGATTCTGCTTGTTGCGTTGTTGTTGTTGTTTGTTTGCTGTCGTCGCCCCACCCGCGACTCACCCGCGACCCACCCCACGACCCACCCCGCGACCCACCCCGCGACACATCCCGCGACCCACCCCGCGACCCACCTGCGACCTACCCGCGACCCACTCGCGACCTACCCCGCAACTCACCTGGCGACCCACCTGGCGACCCACCCGCGACCCACCCCGCGACCCACCCCGCGACCAACCTACGACCTACCCGCGACCCACTCGCGACCCACCCCGCAACCCACCCGCGACCCACCCGGCGATACATCCGAGCCCACCCGCGACCCACCCGCGACCCACCCGCCACCCACACGCGACCCACCCCGCGACCCACCCGCGACCACCCGCGACCCACCCGGCGACCCACCCCGCGACCCACCCGCGACCACCCGCGGTCCACCCCGCGACCCACCTGCGACCCACCCCGCGACCCACCCGCGACCCAACCGCGACCCATCCCGCGACCCACCCCGCAACCCACCCGCGACCCACCACCCACCGACCCACCCGCGACCCACCCCGCGACCCCCGCGACCTACCCGCGACCACTCCCCACCCTGCAACCCACCCGCGACCCATCCGCGACCCACCCGCGACCCACCCGCCACCCGCGACCCACACGCGACCCACCCGCGACCACCCGCGACCCACCCGCGACCCAACAGCGACCCAGCCGCGACCCATTTGCGACCCACCTGCGACCCATTTGCGACCCACCCGCGACCCACCCACACTGATTTAACGAAAAAATCGGCGCCTGCGGCGGGCTTGTTGCATAATTTGTGAAACTGTGGCGCCTGCGGCGGGCTTCTCCAGAGTCTCGCAGACTGCCGACGTCCCCACCGCTCCCTAACTCTTATCCGCATCTGCGGGGTGCTACGTTATTTTTGCACCCTGGTCGAACTGCTGTTTGATGGCCCCGGAGTGCGATCTGGGCCTCTAAGGGTCGGCGACCAACAGCTACCCCAAGATATTGGCTAGCGCCCTGCGAGCTGCAGTCGCTGGCGCCTGCTATTGAAGGAGACAAGGCGCCCCGATCTCATCTTCCAAGGCACCCCAGTCAGCAGATTTTGTTTTTCGCTCCGCAAGCCCGCTCCTCAGAAAGAGTCGTTCGTCCCGGATCTACTTCCGACGGCCCCAGGACCAGAAAAGGTCATGGGAGCCCGAGAACGAGGAAAAACTGACCGACTGGAAAAGACAATTCGCCAAAACCTCCGGAGGAGGATCGGGGGCGTCCAAGAGGGGGCTCGCAGATCATGGCCAGAGGCATGCGGCATGTGCGCGGACGAGGGGGGAGCGGGGAGGGCAAAGGACGTCTTGAAAGAAGACAAAGTGCTATGACATCCGGGGAGAGATCATGGCCCAGGCCACGGTTCCCCCCTCTAGTAGAGGCGTCCTAGATGGGTCCGAGCAGATGGGGTCGAAGGATCGCGTCGCCTCAGCGCAATCGGCGTGGAGGAAGTCGGGCTCCACAACAACTCGTATCGGCGGTGCATCGGCGATGCGGCGCGATCCTTCGACGCTATCTGAAGTCGGACCCCATGTGGGAAGTCTGCATGTGGCCACCACCACCACCACCACCCCTCCGATGGACGCCCCCGAGAGCAGCCCAGCCCCCCCCCTTGCGAGCCGCCCACCTGGGCCCGCTGCAGCCCCCGGGCCACGAACTGGCGCGCGTTGGGCACCGGCGCGCCGCGCGCGCGGGCCTCCCGGGGGGGGGCGCGTGCGTGCGGGGATGCGGCCTCGGGGAGGCTCCTCGTCGCCTCGGCGGGATCCGCCTTGAAGTGCTGGTCGAAGCGCACCCCAAGACAGGTCCGGGGGGCGACATTTAACCCGCGGAGCCCAGGACTCTTCTAGTCGTCACAGCAACAGAAAACGACGACCGAATTTTGTAAATGTTTCGGTCCCTGGGGGACCTTGCTGGGCTCTGGGGCCTTCGAAGAACAATTTGGGGCGGCATCCTACGGCGGTTCACGTCGAGATGACGTCGGCGCTGGTTTCTGACACCGCGTGGGTCGTTCAGCGTTGATAAACCCTGGCCTTCCAGGGGCGCAGATCGTTCGATATCGTTTGATTGTGGGGCACTTGTGGCGTTCAGCCTAGAAGGCCCCCGCTGGGGCCGCCACCGCGTCAACGCGGCGCGTTTCTGCCGTACTGTCGACACAGAGTGATCCTGATCCCCAGCAGGATCCCCAGGCAGCGCTGCGGCTTCAGACGGGCCCTCGCCCTGCGTCGTCGACCAACCAAAGGGTCGAGGATTGAGGTTTGGATGTCTCTGGCATTTTCTAAACCTCCAGGGATGCCTGAAGGCTTCTGGGGATCATCTGGAGACCTCGGGGGACCACTGGGGGATCTCGTCGTCGTTTCCCCACGAGGACGCATGCTGAAGCAGAGGGAGGAGGAGGAGGAGGAGGAGGAGGAGGAGGAGGAGGAGGAGGACGAGGAGGAGGAGGAAGAGGAGGAGAAGGAGGAGGAGGGGGGGTTGAGGGAGCGAAAACGGGAATGGAGGACGGGGATGAGGAAAGCGAGGAGGAGAAGAGAGGGCTGAAAAGAGAAATGGCTCCCTGGAGATACGTAAGGAGACACCGACGGCTTACCAAAGTAATGCGACGTCACGAACGCGGGGCGCGGAACTAACCTTTTTATCGCATTGCGCTGCGAAGGTCTTTTACAACGGCTAGAAAGCTAACGCAAACCGAAAGCGGGCTTCCCTCCCTCAACCCCCCCTCCCACCCCCCCCGGGAAGAACCTCGGGGGTCTGGAACCGCCTCCTCCCCCCCCCACAGGAAAATCAATGGTGGAGGTCTCGAAGCCCACCGCCCCCGGGAACTTTGGCGGGGGGGCCTGGAATCGCCCCCCACCCCCAAGAAAATCATTGTGGGGGATCCGGCGGCCCCCTCCCCCCCCCCTCCCCGGGGAAAATCATCAGGGGGGTCTGGACCCCGCCGTCCCCCCGACGACGACGACGATGACGACGACGACGACGACGTCGACGACGCCGACAACGACGCACGCCGCAAGACGCATGACGCACGACGCACAACGCACGACGACGGCGACGACGACGACGACGACGACGCCGGCGCCGGCGCCGACCCCGAAAGGCCGAAGCCGACGACGATGACATCGACGACGACGACGACGACGACGACGACGACGACGACGGTGACGTTGACGGCGACGACGACGGCGACAGCGACGGCAACGCTGACGGCGACAACAACGGCGACGACCACGGTGACGGCCGCGACGACCTCAGCGGCGGCGGCGGCGCACCTTTTGCCAGCGCCCGCGCCAGGCGCCAAATGGGACAGAATGCTACTATGGCTTCATCTCGCTCTCTAAATATCCTACTAGGGTCATGCTGTACTCTACGCTACCCTACCCTACCCTACTCTACTCGGCGTTCTCTACTCTAGTCTACTCTACTCTACTCTGCCATACTCCACTCTACGCTAGTCTACTCTGTCCTACCGCACCCGAACATAATCTACTCTACTCAACTTTGCTCTTACTCTACTCTACTCCACTCCTTATCTACTCTACTCTCCTCTCTACTCTCCTCCACTCTACTCTATTATACTCTGTCCTACCCGTCCCGACCCTATTCTACCATACCGTACCCCAACACACTCTACTGCTATCTACTTTGCTCCTACTCTACAGTACTTCTACTCTACTCTGCTTCACAAACGTCTTGCTCTACTCTACCCATATGCCCTTCTCTACCCGACTCGAACTGCCATTATCTACTCTTACTTACTCAACCTACCGTACCCAACCATAATATATACTCTACTCTACGTTGGCCTCACTCTACTTTACTCCTACTCCTTCTCTGCTTTTTTTACCTATCAATATCCTACTCTACTCAACTCTGCCCTCCTTTCCTCGACCCTACTCTACCATACCGTACCCCAACATACTCTACTCTACTCTGCTCTACGTTGCTCCTGCTCTACTCCACTCCTACTCTACCCGACTCTAATATGTTCTTGGATTGCTCTACTCTACTCTACTCTACTCTACTCCATCTCTGTTCTACTCTACCCATATACTTTTCTCTACCCGCCTTCTCCCTGATCTAATTTTGTCTGTCAACACCCCCCTACTCTTCTCAACTGTACCCCCACCCAGTTCTGCTCGTGTCTACTCTGCCCTCTACTCTACTCCTATCATGCACTATCCTACGCCTACTCTGCTCTGCTCGTCGTCGTAGTCGTCGTCACCATCATCATGATCGAACCATTATCTTCCTCGTCGTCGTCGGCGCCGTCGTCGGTGTGGGCGTCGTCGTCGGCGTCGGCGTCGACGTCGTCGTCGACGTCGTCGTCGTCGACAGCGTCAGTCGTCGTCGTCGGTGTCGGCGTCGTCGTCGACGTTGGCGTCGGCGGCGTCGTCGTTGTCGTGGTCGTGGTCGTGGTCGTCGTCGTCGGCGCCGTCGCCGTCGTCGTTGGCGTCAGTGCTGGGGACGGCGTTGTCGACGTCGTCACGCGTCGTGAGTGGTGCGTCGTCGTCGTCGACGTCGCCGTTGCCGGCATCGTCGTCGGCGTCGATGTCGTCGTCATCGTCATCGTCGTCGTCACTGTCGTCGTCACCGTGGCCTCCGTCGTCGTCGTCGTCGTCGTCAACGTCGTCGGCGTCGTCAATGTCGTCGTTGCCGAGGCCGCCGTCGTCGTCGTCGGTGTCATTATTGTGGTCTGCGGCGGCGTCGTCGTCGTCAAGGTCGTCGTGCGTCGTGCTTCGTCGGGTGTCGTGCGTCGTGCGTCGTCGGCGTTGTCGACGTCGTCGTCGTCATCGTCGTCGTGGTTGTCGACGGCGTCGTCGCATTCGTCGTCGTCGTCGTCGCCGCCGCCGTCGTCGTCAGCAGTCGGCAGTCGCCGTCGGCGTCGGCGAGTCGTCGTCGTCGGCTTCGTCGTCCTAGTCGTCGTCATCGTCGTCGTCGTCGCCGTCGCGGTCGTCGTCGTCGTCGGCGTATTCGTCGTCGACATTGTCGTCCTCGTCGTCGTCGGCATCGTCGTCGTCGTCGTCGTCGGCGTCGTGCGTCGTCATCGTCGTAGTTGACGTCGGCGTCGTCGTTGTCGTCGCCGTCGCGGTCGTCGTCGTCGTCGGCGTCGGCATCGTCGTCGTCGGCGTCGTGCGTCGTCATCGTCGTAGTTGTCGTCGGCGTCGTCGTTGTCGTCGTCGTCGTGGTCGTTGTCGTCGTCGCTTTCGCCGTCGCCGTCGCCGTCGTCGGCGTCGGCGTCGGCGTCGACGTCGTCGTACCTCGTTAGTCGTGCGTCGCTGGCGTCGTGCGTCGTCGTCGTTGTCGTCGTCGTGCCGTCGCCGTCGATGTCGTCCTGCGTCGCCGTCGTCGTCGGCGTCTTCATCTCCGTCGTCGTCGGCGTCGATCTCGGTGTCGGCGTCGTCGTCGGCGTCGACGTCGTCTAGAGTCTTGCGTAGTGCGTGGTACGTCGTACTTAGTGTGTCGTTGTCGTCGTCAACGTGAGTGGTCTGTCGTCGTCATCGTTGTCGTCGTCGTCAATGTCGTCGTCGCCGTCGCCGCCGCCACCGTCGTCAACGGCATCGGCGCTGGCGTCGGCGTGGGCGTCGTTGTTATCGTGGACGGCGTCGTCGTCGTCGTCGTCGTCGTCGTCTTGGTCGTCGGCGTCGACGTCGTCGTCGTCGGCGTCGGCGTCGACGTCGACGTCGACGTCATCGTCGTCGTCGACGTCGTGGGCGTCGTCGTCGACGTCGTCGGCGTCGTCGTCGTCGGCGTCGGCGTCGGCGACGCCATCGGCGTCGTGCGTCGTCGGCGGAGAAGGCGTCGTTGTCGTTCGCGGCGGCGGCGTCGCAGTCGTCGTCGCCGTCGTCGTCGGCGTCGTCGCCGTCGTCGTGCGTCGTCGGCGGCGACGTCGTTATCGTCGGCAGCGTCGTCGTTGTCGTCGCCGTCGTTGTCGTTGCCGTCGTCGTCGTCGTCGTGGTCGTTGTCGTTTTCGTTGTCGTCGTCGTCGTCGTCGTCGTCCTCGTCGTCGTCGTCGTCGGCATCGACCTCAGCGTCGGCGTCGGCATCGGCGCCGGCGTCGACGTCGTCGTCGTGCGTCGGGCGTCGTGCGTCGTGCGTCGTGCTTCGTGTTTCGTCGTCGTCGTCGGCGTCGTCGTCGTTGCATCGTCGTCATTGTCGCCTAGGCGTCGGCGTCGGCGTCGGCGCAGGCGTCGACGTACGTTGTGCGACCTGCGTCGTGCGTCGTGAGTCGTGCGTCGTCGTCGTCGACGTCGTCGTTGCCGGCGTCGTCGTCGTCGTCGATGTCAACGTCATCGTCATCGTCGTCGTCACTGTCGTCGTCACCGTGGCCTCCGTCGTCGTCGTCGTCGTCGTCAATGTTGTCGTCGCCGAGGCCGCCGTCGTCGCCGTCGTCGTCGCCTAGGCGTCGGCGTCGGCGTCGGCGCAGGCGTCGACGTACGTTGTGCGACCTGCGTCGTGCGTCGTGAGTCGTGCGTCGTCGTCGTCGACGTCGTCGTTGCCGGCGTCGTCGTCGTCGTCGATGTCAACGTCATCGTCATCGTCGTCGTCACTGTCGTCGTCACCGTGGCCTCCGTCGTCGTCGTCGTCGTCAATGTTGTCGTCGCCGAAGCCGCCGTCGTCGCCGTCGTCGTCGTCGTCCGTCGGCGTCTGCATCGTCGCCGGCGTCGTGCGTCGTCGTCGTCGGCGTCGTCGTGACGCCGACGTCGTCGTCGGCGTCGAACTCGGTGTCGGCGTCGTCGTCGGCGTCGTCATTGTGGTCTGCGGCGGCGTCGTCGACGTTGTCGTCGTCGTCGTCGGCGTCGACGTCGACGTTGTCGTTGTTGTCGTCGCCGTCGCCATCGTCGTCGACATCGGCGTCGGCGCTGGCGAAGCCGACGTCGTCGTGCGTCGTGCGTCGTCATAGTGTCGTCGGCGGTATCGTCGTCGTCGTCGTTGACGTTGTCGTCGTGGTTGTCGTCGTCGCTTTCGCCGTTGCCGTCGCCGTCGTCGGCGTCGGCGTCGGCGTCGACGTCGTCGTACCTCGTTAGTCGTGCGTCGCTGGCGTCGTGCGTCGTCGTCGTTGTCGTCGTCGTCGTGCCGTCGCCGTCGATGTCGTCGTCGTGCGTCGCCGTCGTTGTCGGCGTCGTCATCTCCGTCGTCGTCGGCGTCGATCTCGGTGTCGGCGTCGGCGTCGGCGCCGGCGTCGACGTCGTCTAGAGTCTTGCGTAGTGCGTGGTACGTCGTACTTAGTGTGTCGTTGTCGTCGTCAACGTGAGTGGTCTGTCGTCGTCATCGTTGTCGTCGTCGTCAATGTCGTCGTCGCCGTCGCCGCCGCCACCGTCGTCAACGGCATCGGCGCTGGCGTCGGCGTGGGCGTCGTTGTTATCGTGGACGGCGTCGTCGTCGTCGTCGTCGTCGTCGTCTTGGTCGTCGGCGTCGACGTCGTCGTCGTCGGCGTCGGCGTCGACGTCGACGTCGACGTCATCGTCATCGTCGACGTCGTGGGCGTCGTCGTCGACGTCGTTCGTCGTCGGCGTCGTCGTCCTAGTCATCGTCGTCGTCGGCGTCGTCGTCGTCGTCGGCAGTGTCGTCGTCATCGTCGTCGTCGTCGGCGTCGTCGTCGGCGTCGGCGTCGGCGTCGGCGACGCCATCGGCGTCGGCGTCGTCGGCGGAGAAGGCGTCGTTGTCGTTCGCGGCGGCGGCGTCGCAGTCGTCGTCGCCGTCGATGTCGGCGTCGTCGCCGTCGTCGTGCGTCGTCGGCGGCGACGTCGTTATCGTCGGCAGCATCGTCGTTGTCGTCGCCGTCGTTGTCGTTGCCGTCGTCGTAGTCGTCGTCGTTGTCGTCGTCGTCGTCGTCGTCGTCGTCGTCGTCCTCGTCGTCGTCGTCGTCGGCATCGACCTCAGCGTCGGCGTCGGCATCGGCGCCGGCGTCGACGTCGTCGTCGTGCGTCGGGCGTCGTGCGTCGTGCGTCGTGCTTCGTGTTTCGTCGTCGTCGTCGGCGTCGTCGTCGTTGCATCGTCGTCATTGTCGCCTAGGCGTCGGCGTCGGCGTCGGCGCAGGCGTCGACGTACGTTGTGCGACCTGCGTCGTGCGTCGTGAGTCGTGCGTCGTCGTCGTCGACGTCGTCGTTGCCGGCGTCGTCGTCGTCGTCGATGTCAACGTCATCGTCATCGTCGTCGTCACTGTCGTCGTCACCGTGGCCTCCGTCGTCGTCGTCGTCGTCGTCAATGTTGTCGTCGCCGAGGCCGCCGTCGTCGCCGTCGTCGTCGCCTAGGCGTCGGCGTCGGCGTCGGCGCAGGCGTCGACGTACGTTGTGCGACCTGCGTCGTGCGTCGTGAGTCGTGCGTCGTCGTCGTCGACGTCGTCGTTGCCGGCGTCGTCGTCGTCGTCGTCGATGTCAACGTCATCGTCATCGTCGTCGTCACTGTCGTCGTCACCGTGGCCTCCGTCGTCGTCGTCGTCGTCGTCAATGTTGTCGTCGCCGAGGCCGCCGTCGTCGCCGTCGTCGTCGTCGCCGTCGGCGTCGGCGTCGGCATCGTCGCCGGCGTCGTGCGTCGTCGTCGTCGGCGTCGTCGTGACGCCGACGTCGTCGTCGGCGTCGAACTCGGTGTCGGCGTCGTCGTCGGCGTCGTCATTGTGGTCTGCGGCGGCGTCGTCGACGTCGTCGTCGTCGACGTCGTCGTCGTCGTCGGTGTCGACGTCGACGTTGTCGTTGTTGTCGTCGCCGTCGCCATCGTCGTCGACATCGGCGTCGGCGCTGGCGAGGCCGACGTCGTCGTGCGTCGTGCGTCGTGCGTCGTCATAGTGTCGTCGGCGGGATCGTCGTCGTCGTCGTTGACGTTGTCGTCGTCGTTGTCGTCATTGTTGACGGCGTCGCCGTCGTCGCCGTCGTCGGCGTCGGCACCGTCGTGCGTCGTGCGTCGTGCGTCGTCGTTGCGACGTTGCGACGTTGCGTCGTTGCGTCGTTGCGTCGTTGCGTCGTCGTCGTCGTCGTCGTCGTCGTTGTCGTCGTCGCCGTCGTCGTCGTCTTCGTCATCGTCGTCGTCGGGGGGGGGTGGGAGCCCCCTTCGAAAGGGTTTTCGGGGAGGCGGGTGTTCCAGACCCCCTCTACTAATTATCCGGGGGGGGTCCGGAACCCCGCCCCCTCCTCGCTTTGGGCGGGTTCAAGACCCCCCACACTCTTTCCTGTCAGCAGTGGCAGAAAGCGCTCTATCGAAAGAGCGAACGTTGGGTGCGGAACTAACCTTTCCCCCCATAGCGCGACGAAGGCTTGAGTACGGCAGCTACATAACAAATGCAGCATGACAGCATGTTTCTAGCTAGCACGAAAAACAATCTTAACCCTACTGCCACTACAACCACTCATCCCCTCCGTCTCCTCCTTCCTGTCTCACTACTCTGTCCCTCCAGCCTCCCTGCTCATCACCCTCCCCTCCTCCCCTTCTCCGCTCCTCGCTTCGCTTCCTTGCCTTCCCCTCCTCTCCCTTCTCCCCCATCACCTCCCCCTTCTTCTTCCACCGCTGCGCCCCCGATCGTTCCTCATCCCTCCCCCACTGTCCTCTTCGCATCCCCTCTGCCTCAGTTCCAAGAGGAGGAGGAGGATGAGGATGAGGATGAGGAGCAGGAGCAGGAGGAGCAGGAGCAGGAGACGGAGGAGTAGGAGGACGAGGGAAGCAGAGAGGTGAGGAGGCCGCCCCCCTCGCTCCTCTCCTCCCTCCTCCCCCCTGGCCCTCAGGGACGACCCGTGGACCTCGGCCATCTGGCGAGCGATCTCATCCAGCAGCTCCGCGTCCTCCTCGCCCTGCTCAGGCAGGGGCCTGGCGAGCCATCGGAGGGTGGGGAGGGAGGGACCGATCGGCGAGGATGAGACGCGGAGGATCGAGAAGGATGAGATGATGGATGAGACGGAGAAGGCCACGGTCGACGAGGATCGACCAGAGGGGTTGGAACAGGAGAACCATCGACGGGGAGGAGGCGAGGGACAGGAGGGGTCGATGAGAAACGGGAGGCATCGACGACGTGGGGGGGGATGAAAGGAGGTCGAGGAGGAGGAGGAGGCAACCTAGACCCATGGGCGGCCCGAAACATCGCGCTCGAGGTGTTTCGCCATTCTCGGCGTCTGGGGTCCATGTTCAGGGCGCTGGGGCCATCAGGAAACGACTCACAATGAAAAGCGGGTCACGTGGAGACAGAGGGTCGAATGCCTAACGCCCTCCCCCCCACTTCCATCCCCATCTCCCCCCCCTGCCTCCAACCTTCTTCCCCCTTTATCGTCGTGTTCCGTCGTTGGGCCTACCTGCTCTCGCGCTTGGGAGGGGTCCAAATGTCTGAGGACTCCTCACTCACCGACCTGCTTCGTCACGTCAACCTCCGCGTCCTGCCTCTTTCTACATGCAATCGGCTTCTTGATGCTCCCAAGCGGAGCAATACTTCCTTCTCGTGCTCCTCCTTCCTCTTGGTGACTTCCGTCCTCTAGATGCTCTCACTTCTTGCAACTAAAAGATAGCATGTGGACTCCCCGTCTCGTCTACGAGGTAACCCCCTCCTCCACATGACTCCTCCTCGAGCGCAGCAAATTATGTTCGTCATCGTGTCCATCTCATTCCAATACGCCCCTCCCGAAGGAAGCGGCTTCTGGCCTCCCCCCGTTTTGCTTCCGAGGGCCACCCAGGGCATGTCACATGCCAGGGCCTATCAGCGCACCAAGAAATCTTCCAACGCCTCGGACCCTGAACTTCCTGAGTCACCGAGACGATGATTGGCAATCATCGTCTCGGTGACTCACCCATCTCCGAACGAATCACTCCCTCCCTCCTTCTCCCATCATTCCTTTCTCTCTCCCTGTACCCACTCTCTCTTCTTTTGTTGTTGCTTCTCTCTCTCTCTCTCCTCCCTCGCCCGCCCTCCCTCCTCCCTACGCCGCCCCGTCCTGCTGCTGCTGATGCTCCTCTTCCCCCTCCCCATCCTCCCCTTGATCATCGTCGTCGTTGTCTTCTCCTCCTTCCTCCGCTGCTCTCGTTCTCTTCCTGTTTGACCTCGTCCCCCTTTCTGGTTCTCATTCGTCTCCTGCTCCAAATAAACCTTCCCTCCCCCTCCACTTCCCTTCCCCTTCCCCTCCTGTTCCTGCAACTCCGCCTGCTCCTGTTTTCGCTCCCTCTCCTGCCTCTGCCCGATCTCTCCGTGACGACGAAGAGCCCACCCACAAGCCCAGAAAAACACCCAGTTGCCCCAAACCCCGCCCCTCGAGCTTCGATCCTCCTCCTTCGATAATCCTGCTTCTCCTGCTTTTCCTCCTCCTCCACCACCTCCTCCTCCTCCTGCACATCCTGCTCCTCCTCCTCCTCTCCTCCTGCTCCTCCTCCTCCTCCTCCTCCTCCTCGTCCTGCTCATCTTCCCCCTCCTCTTCCTTCCTCCCCCCCCCTTCCCTCGCTCCTATCCAAATCGCCCCCCCCCCCCCCCCCCCCGCCCCCCCCCCCCCCCCCTCGAATGCCTGGCAGGGCCCACACCTCCGGCCGCCTCCTCGGCCTCTCGCCGATGCTGCTCGGCAACCTGGACCCCCGGAGAAGAGAAGAAACAGCCCTCCGGCCTCTTCATCGAAAGACAGGGGCGGCGGCGCGGTGGAGAGGAGGGGAGGGGAGGAAGGATGGAGTGGAAGGATGGAGTGGATGGGGGGGGGAGGAATGGAGGGAGGGAGGGACGAGGGATGAAAAATATGATCCCCTTGGGGGTGCTTTATTATCACACGGCGCGTGTTGCCTCCTCTTCCTCCAAAGGCCTGCGTGAACATGCGGACGCTTCCGGGGCCCTCTGGAGACCAGGGGGAGGGCTGAGGAAGAGACGGTCAGAAGGAGATGCGGGCATCGGGCTGGCCGAACCCCGCTTGGGACGGCAGCGCCGCCTGCGCCTGAGACGCGGGCGCAGGCGCCGGTGGACCCACTCCGATCGCCCGCGAGCACAGGCGCATGCGGCTAGGTCCAGGAGCCTCGCGAGCGTTCGAGAAGCCAAGTACAGCGCAAGCGGGCTACACTCGCTGCTGAAGCAAAAAACGATTCGTAAAGAACGAAGCTCCCTTGTAAGGAAACAAGCGCTATACACCGACGCTATTTCTGGCCCCGCATTGACACTTGCACAGGACAGCGGATCATGCTGCAGTATACGGGACCCTGGTGTATACATTTGTCGCTGTTTCCACGGGGAGCGGAAAAACAAGTTACACCACACCACCCCGACGTCGTCCCCGGCCCTCAAAAGTCCCGGGATTGAGAAGATGCCCGCCAATGGTAATGTATATGTTCCAGTCTCCGACTTCTGGGTCCCAAACGCGGCTGCGTGCACGAGGAGGGCTAGAGGAACAACCACGGACTGACCTGAGGAACAGCGATCCCCTTCTGAACCAAACATGGCCCATATTTCGACGTCTTAGCTGTTCCGCGGGGCTAAGAGAACATGAAAAGGGGAGAGCCACCGGCCCCTCACGAGGCAGTGGCGGGGGGCGGCGGGCAGCGGCCAGCGGCGGGGAGTTGCGGGCAGCGGTGCCAAACGGGCACCAGCGGGAAGGGCACCACGGGTGGCGGCAAGCGGCGGGCGACGGGCAGCGGCGGGGGCAGCGAGCGGCGGGCGCAGCCAGGGCGGGGGGCGCGGCGACCGCGTGGAGTCGCCGGCCATCGGCGTCCAGCGGTCACGGGGATGCGAAGTGCCTCCTCCGTGCTCTCCTTTATGGTCTGGGTCCACTAGTGATTGAAGATTGCGAAGGCCGCCGCGCACTCCTGACCCGTCTTTGTGTCCAGGAAGTGTTGAATGAACGCCAGGAAGATGTGGGGCCATGGCGGCCCATTGTCGTAGAGCTTGCCCTGCTCGGTCCTGTTCAGCCTTCTGCATGATCTTGATGATTGGTGCCACCACTGGCACCAGAACGCAAGTGAAGGCAGCGCCTGCTAGTTATGCGACGCCCCTGGCACTGCTGAGCGAGAGCCGACACAACACCGTGAAAATGGCGAGCATGATGCCGCCGCCCGTGCCATTGAGTTCCTCCCGCCGTGTATGACCTAATACGCGCTCTTTGATCTTAGTTTTCTGCCCCGAAGGCTGTCCGCTGCCTCCGAGGTGGCGCAGCGTTTGGCTGCAAGGGACCATGCTGGCGCCACCGTCGCCATGGTCGTGTTCACCCGCAGGAAGGAATACAAGATGACAACTTAAGTGTATACACAGATGCTGTGACAGACGTCAAGGGTCAACAATATGAGCCTCGCACAGCGGACGTCTTGATATCTGAGGGGTAGGAGCGCGGAAAGTGATACTTCTGGCCATCACACACAATCCACTGTGGAAGGGGTCTACCACATGTTTTAAATATCAAACGAAGCCAGACAAGTAAATTCGAACATGCTGGTACATACAAAACATTGAATGCGAACCACCGTTGTCCCGAGGATCGCTTTGAGGCTCTGATGGTTTGTCGGTGATCAAGTATTTGGCGTTGAGTTTGGGATGTCTATGACACCCACGGACAGGGAACAAAACAACGTTCTGTTGCTGTTGAGCCTGGGGAACCTCGCCGGGGTCAGGATCTGGAAGGGCACGGTGCGCACCGATAAGAGGAGGGGAGGAAAGGGTCCCACTGACCAAACTGCCAGGCATGTGAGCGGGCCGCCTTTGAACAGTACCTCGGGGCGCCCGCTACCTGGGGACCCCCCCGATTCGCAGAATATTGCTGTCGGTTGCTAACGAGGGCGCGCCCTGGCTAGCGACCCGCGATGGGGCTTCGCGGGCATGGGGCCCTGCACGGGGCAATGCCTGTTGGTGCCAGCGGGGGGCGCAGCTGCAACGCGGCAGACCCAGACCCCGCGGCCGCCTGTTATACCCCGCCGCGGGTTGGCCGGCGCACCAAGCCTGCGGGCGGTTCCCGCCCCCGCGCTGCGCCGTGGTGGCCCGCCTTAATTGCCCGACCAAATCCAGATGCTGCGGCAGCTGGTCACGCCGCGCGGGCGCCGGTGGAGGCGGGGCGCTCATGAGGCCACGGGACTGAGGGAGGGGGGAAGCCAGGGAAGGAAGGGGGAAGGGGAGGGGGGAGCTGTTTCAGCTGTTTCGCCTCCCGCTCCACGCGAGTCGCGCGGCCTGCCTAGGCCGCGCCCGCCGCCGTCGCCGCGGCGGCTTCCTCTCGGGGGGTCGCGGCCCTGGGGCCCACCCCCGCTCCACTCGCTCTGGCTGAGGCGAGTGGAGCAATGCTGAGCTGCTCTCCTTCCAGCTGTCCTGTTACTGCTGGTGGTCGTCGTGCTGCTGGTGCCGTGGTGTTGGCTGCTGTCCGTCGTGCTGCACTGAAGGAGACACGCCCTCGCGCCCGCTCCCTCCCGGAGCTTCTTGCACGACGACCGTTTCGCCCTGCGCGGGGAAGGCCCTCCTGAAGCGGCGGGGGCCCACGTGCCGATGGACTAGCTCTACGTCGACACCGTCGCGCTCGAACTGGACCACAACGTCGCGCATGTGCTCCCCGTCCTCGCCGCGTAGCTGGGCGAGCCAGCCCCCTGCCGCCTGCTCGGTCTCCACTCCAGCGCTGAAGCCGACGATATCGGGCTCTAGCTTCGCCCCCACTTTTCGCGCGCGCTGCTCCCAGCGCTGTAGCTGCCAATATTGGGCTCTAACTTCGCCTGCCCCTTCTCGCAACCGCTGTCCCCGGGCTCGCCCTCGCCATCTGATGCCGCTGCGCCGAATCGCGGGGGCCGCTCGATGGGGGGGGGCGGGGCGAAAAGCTCCGCGGCTAGGGCCCGCGCGGGCGAGGGCCTGCGCGGCCGCGTCCGCGGCCCCCCGCAGCGCGCCCAGGCTGCGAGCGCAGCGCGGGCGGCAGGGGGGCCGCTGACGACGCTGCCGCCGCCGACCGACCGACCGCCGCCGCTCCGCCCGCCCCCCCGCCCCCCCCTTCCCCCCTCAGCCCCCCTCCCCCCCCCCCAAGGGCGGAGCAAAAGAAGAGGGGGGGGGGGCCTCCGAGCCCTCGCCTTGCAAAAGAAACGACGACGGCGGCGGCCTCGCGGCGCGGTCGCCAAGTCCCCAGAGAGGTAGCTGAAAAATTCGCTCGTCCGAGGTGGTGGCCTCTCTCTTCGTTTGCTCCGGTCGACGGCGCTCTGGAGCGGCCGCCGCAGGCCCCGGCGAGCTTCGGGCCGCGGCCTCGTTCAACAATGAACGCGCCGCATTCCAAGCAAATCAAGGCCCTCCCGCGACGCTCAGCCACGTGGCCTCGCGCGCGGAAGGCCTCCAGCTCGCGCCCCGCGGCCCCCGCCCGTCGCCCAGCGACGAAGGGGGGGGGGTCAAGGCCCCCCCTCGCCGCGAGCTCGTCCAGCCCAGGAGACGCTCTGAACGGGGCGAGGGGCTCGGGGGACAAACTGACACTGCAAGCCGCAGCCATGAGCTCAATGCCCGATGGGCGCGCGTTCAGTGGGCGGGGGGGCCTTTTGCGAAGCACGCGCGCGAGCAAAATGGTTGCAGCGCGCGCGACGATGCCCCCCCGCGCGCCTGCAAACCCACGTCTCGTGAGCAGCGATGACGAGAGAAACGGGCGCGCTCTTGACAACGGGAGTGCTACTGGGCCCCGAGGAACGATCAAGCCGGGCCGCCTCCTGGACCACCTCTTGAACCATCCGAGAAAAGACCTTGGCGCGGGCTTTGGCGCCCAGCAGCTTGCGCCCGTGGGATTCAACTAACACCTCGGCCACCTCGCGGCGGCTGGCCCCCCACTTCGCAAACACGTCCGCCGAACTGTCCCCGGCGAACTTGAGCAAGCAGGCCGAAGAGTCCGAGAGGGCGCCCTCAGCCATCCTGCGGGAGGGGGTCCGGTCGAAGGTGGGGCGCCGCTCGCATTCGTTGGACAGGGCATGAGCTCGTCTCCAAATGCTGGCGCGAATTGAGGCGGGGGTCTCGTTTGCCGGCCCTGCTTACGACCAGCCTTGGCTAGAGCGAGACATGGTCGCTAATCGCATGCGCAGGCCTGCTAGCTACCTCGATCCCCTTCAGCACTCAGACAGAGGAACAGTCTGGACCCTACCTGGGAGTGGCCCATACGTGGCGCGGAGGATGTCACTTTGCGCCGGAAGCTCCACTGTCGCCCACCCACACCGTGCCGTGCCACAGACCCCTTTTGCCGAGCCAGATCCGCCAGCGTGGACGCAACGCCTCCACGCCCCACAAGGGCCCCCCGCCCAAACGCCTCCAGGATCGGCTCGACATCACGGGGGAAAGGCGGCAGGGGCGGCAGCCCGTAAGACAAAAACAAACATTCTACGCGCACGGCACCGTTGGACTTGGCATATATCCCACGGACTTTCGACCTGTGCCCCAGAACATCGTCGGGCACAAGGCTAGTTGCCTGCTCCTCGCTGTCCCGAAGCATCCCAGGGCAAACGAACCATCGATGGGCGCGCGAGCCAACGGCATGCGGGATTTGTCCGACACTCGCGTCTGCATTGGGTGAAGCCGCTGAGGAGTTCAGCAGCCTTGCGCCGAGAGCGCGCGGGGAGCTCCGCTGCGGGCTTGGCTGCCAACTGCCAGGACAGACGCCTGAA